GGGGAAGGCTCCGGGTACCTCTCCTTTGCACCCGCAGCTGAGCCCAGAATTTTGGCCGTGACCCGCGAGCCTCTGTGGTCAGAAGCCAAGTCACGGCGTAGCCCAGTGTTTCTCAACCTTGGCCACTTGAAGATGCCCAGACGTCACCTCCCAGAATTCCCCAGCCAGCATGCGCTGGCTGGGGAATTCTGGGAGTTGAAGTCCGGGCATCTTCAAGTGGCCAAGGTTGAGAAACACTGGGCTACGCCGTGACTTGGCTTCTGACCACAGAGGCTCGCGAGTCACGTCCAAAATTCTGGGCTCAGCTGCGGTTGCAAAGGAGAGCTACCTGTAGCCTTCCCCATAACCCTTGGCCGCTCGACTTCTGTGAAGTCAGATTCGCTCCAGAGGTGTCTTGTTTCTTTTCAAAACAATTCAAAGTTGACGAGTAAACTCATCTTTGGCATAAAGAAACCCTCCTAGCTGAATTTCTGTGCTTTTTAAAACATTTCTGATCGTGGTCTCCAAGAAATAATTGAACAAATACTAGACTAGAATCTTCCACTAATGCAGAGTGGAATGCCAACCAGTCCTGACCACCGCCTGCTGCTGGTCTGGAGGGGTTTCTGGCCTCGGAGAACATCTGGCACATTCCACTGTCTCCCCCACTCTGCCACTGCATCTCCTCCTCCTCCTCCCGCACGCCTGCTTGTCTCACCTGTGGACAATGCCAACGTTGTGACAATGGGCAACAGCACTGACAATCTGTCGGAAAAGCCTCCGTGCCTCCTCCTCCTCCAGGCCAGGATACTCCCTCCGGTCAGACGTGGCGTTGATGTGCTCCAGGAGGTCCCCCCGGGAGGCCAACTCCAGCACCAGGTAGGTGCGCTTACTGTTCCGATACATCTCATAGAGCTGGATCTACAAGACAGCCGAGCTTTCCGTGAGCACGGAGCCAGGGAGCCCACGGCCTTCCCCTTCTTCCACACCGACCTCCTAGTGCATAGCCATGCGGCCCCCATGCCCCAGAACCCCTCTTGCTTTGGGGGTCTCATGGCTCAGGCAGCAGAGCTTGGAGGCTGCCTAGTCCAATGAGAAGGTCAGTCGTCCACCCAAGGAGAGAGTGGTTGGGTTCTCTTCCAGGACTGCTGGCTGCCAGAGCACCCGGGAGGCCCTCCCTGAAGAGGACCCCTCCTCTTGTCCGTCTTCTGGCCTTGGAGGGGGGTGGGAAAGGGGCGGGGACAGAATGATGCTGAAAGGTCACATGACACGCGTGTGCAGTGGGCATAACTCGGACGGGCAATTCATTTTCCCACATGAGAAGCGGGGGTTGCTGTTGGGGGGCCAAGAGGCCTGCCTTCATGCACACAGGTGCATTGCAAACGAACAGCCGTCGCCTTCAAAAGGAAAGGACCCCCCACAGGGCAGCCAAGGGGGCGGGTGTGGCCCAGGGGCAGTGAAATCCCAGGTCTGGTACAACGGGGTGTTTTCCGAAGGCCAATGAGCCCAGAGGCCAAATGGCAGCAGTTCGCCTCTGATTCTGGGATTCCAATTTGTGGGGGCCACCCGGCCTCTCTGATCCCTCTTCTGCAGGGCAGAGAAGGACAGGCCTGCTGGTGCTCAGGATGCCTCAATATGGGGTCCAGCAAAGCCAGCTCCTCTGGTTGGCCTTTGGTGGCTGCATTGAGGCACCCCAGGCTCACCTCTGGCTTTTTCAGAAGATACGTGCGGTGAATTGGACCCCGTCTTGTGTTGCACCCGCTGCCCCTTTGGCCGCTGGGGGCTCTCAGGAACACTTTGGGGTGCTTGTGGTGTGGGGGTGCTTTACTCAGAGGAGGCCCCTCAGGGTTTGCGCTGCCCCTGCCGAGACTCACCACATTTAGGTGCTTGTACGTAACATTCAGGGAGTAGATTTCTCTTGGAAGGAACTTTTTGGTATATTCCACCGGTGCCTCTGCTGTTGAAATTATCTTTATAGCAACCTGCGGGAAGAGGGAGCAGAGCGTGAGGCGGCCGCTGGGAAACCCCTCGGCCACGGAGCTTCAGGGCTGAGGATCGCTGCGCCCCCAGCCCTGTGGGACCTTCCTAACCAGGGTGTCTAAGCATCGCATTGGGTTCCACAGGCCCAGAACTAAGCATTTGGAGCAACAGGAAAAGAGAAGAGGCACCCGATTAAAATAAATCAAAACAGAAGGCGATCAGTTTCAACAGTAAAACAAATTACCAAAATATGTAGGCAGTTTAAAAGCTTAGCAGTTGCGGCCCTGGCCGTCCATTTAGCCACCTTCTGGAGGGCTTCCTGGACTGTCAGTTGAAAACACACACACACACACACACACAGCCCTTGTGCTAACAAGCGTAACCAATCCAGGTAGTGGAAGGTCTCTGGCGGAGCAGGCTGCTTGCTGCCTCTCTCTTCCAATGGACCTCCAGCTTTTGCACAGAACTGGAGGAA